TTTCTGTGATTGCGAGTGAGATGAAAAGGACAATAGATGACACCAACCAGTGGGAAACTAGTCCAGCCGCGCCCTTTCTTAGCCTTATGCACGTACAAATGCGGTTTAGCATGGGCTGCCACATGGGGCACATAGGCTGGCTTTTCCTTTTCTTTTTATTCAAAATTGTTAGTATTTGAGTAGGAGAGTTGTTAGCAATTCGCTTTCGCTGTTTTTCACAAGGTGCTAGGCACCAAATTTATCTGCAAGAACTGCTGAGATTCTTTCGAGTTTGTGGAATGTCTTCCAAGGGATTTTAGTGCTTCTTGTTTTCTTACCCATTATATGGTTTTTCTTTTAATCTGACCCTTTTTAGAGTACATGTAATGTAAAGCATCCTCCTGGAAGAGAAATATATGTGGATACTGATGAAAAAATTGCCGTGTATGAGGTTGATGGAGAAAAAGAAAAGGTATTCAAGTTATGCTGAATTGTTATGAAATGTAGTTAGCCCTTATCATGAATTTGTTTTTCAGTTATTTTGCCAGTGCTTATGTCTATTTGCGAAGTTGTTCATGGATCATAAAACCATATATTTTGATGTTACTGCTTTTCTATTCTACGTGGTTTGCCAACTTAGAGACTCAGGTAAGAGGTAATGTGTTCGTCTGGCTATACTCTTCGCTAGCAGACTCGGCTCTGCAGAGCGCAGGTAAACATACTGTACATTCACGCCGACGAAGGTAATTGGCGCTTGCCAATTACTTTCGTCGGCGTGAATGTGCAGTATGTTAACCTGCGCTCTGCAGAGCCGAGTCTGCTAGCGAAGAGTATAGCCAGACGAACACATCTTATTGAGAGGGCGTGTACTAGTAGAAGAGACGTTTCTACTCTTCCCCTATGGTGATTAGCCCATGTGATACGTCAGCCACCTTAGCGCCTAGTTTTTTTTCTTCATTAGCATGTTTCAAACTTTCTTATCATTTGCGTTGAATACAAGCTGTGCATTCGCCTCCAAGGACGGTCTTTGCCATGTACGCGGCGAATGGGTCCGCAGCTGCCGTAGTGTACCACTTCCCCTCTTAGGAGGGCGGGAGTGGGGCTGTGTAAGATAGTGGTACTCGAGTGCCGTATCCATACTCCGCGCCTTATTCTCAAGGTACAGCGCTTGCATCAAGGTACCGAGATCCCGTCTGGAAACAAGCACTCAACGGTAGAGAACAATCAGAAGTGAGAGAGCGCAGGCAATTAGCGCAGAGCTAGCCACGGCTAAGCGCCTGGTTCTCCGTGCGGCAGTGGCTTCCGGGCATCTCTACCCTACCAGCCTCGACAGCACCGTTCCCGTGCAACTGGTGAAAGTGGCACGCTGCAGACCCGTTCTCCACAGACACGGCAAGGACCAGGATCCGCGGCGGTAAGTGTACAGTCTGTGTTTGAAAGTCGCCTCTTAGTAATCAGAACCTCCAAACGTGGTCCAGCAAAGTTTCCATTTTTCTCAAGAATATTGGGATGAATTATGAGTATTCTCTTCTCCATCGTACGTTCTGTAAAGCAGAGTGCATAATAATGTCGTTGAGATTCCTAGTTTTGTTGCTTACGCCGAGAAGTCACATTAGAGTCAAATGAATAGTTAAACGTTCATTGTACTTGAAGCTATCTACCCTGCTCGCTTCCTTCTGCTCGACTCTCTGGCTGTAGTTGACCTCTCTCCGCTCCTTTTCTCGCTGTTCTAAACTATCGTGAATATTTACTTTTTCAATCACTCTTTTGCGTTTCTCCGTTGTTACTTTACTTAGAGCGCGTTCAGACTTCGCGATCGCGCGATCCGATCGCGCTACTGTGGGTGAAATTACACCGGGAGGGGGTCATGTTCGTTCATGTTTATTGTTCCTGTTCTTTTTTCCTTTTCCTTCTTTCTTCCTTTGTGTACATAACGCCCTCCTAATTTTAAGGAACGTTTCGAAATATCTTTGAGTTATTTATTATTTCCTATGTAAAATAGTACTAAATATACAATATGCTAATTATTATACTGAATTTTGCATCTGGACGAGTGTTCAAGCGGAGTATTGAACATCTTGTTCCAAAAGTAAGACACGCAGAACTTTCAACAGCGGGTGATGTTGTTTCTCTCCCTTCCCCCGATTTTGCCAGTCCTCCAGATATTCACTTTACTTTTGTCACATTGTGTTTGTCTTTGTTGTTCTGCCTCCTCCAGGTCTCATAACACAAAACCTGCAACCTGCTGGCTAACGTATTTGGGGGACCCACGCGCGCGAGCGGCGAGCGATATCATCGCTCTTCTGCTCACTCTCGCAAAAAACGAAATTTTCATGTTTAGGACATGGATATAACACCGTCCTAGCTATATTCAAAGCTAAAACAGTTAAGGCTGAAAAGTGCGAAGAAACAGTTGTAGGCTGGAAGATTTTGCCTAAAATACAACGATTGTTGCCTTTTTGTTGATTCTTGACTATAAAAGATCAAATATTTGTTGTTTTCAGCTTCTGTGGGATTTCCCAGCAAGTTCCCGGTGAATCTTGTTTGTTTCATTCTAATTTGGCTGCTAGTTTCGCGCTTCAAGTATGCCTATGAGTGAAGAGCTGATGAGTCATCACTCGCCGCTCTCCGCGTGGTCCCCCCCAAATACGTTAGCACCACAACCTTTCCTTTCGGACGGTTTCTGCAAATTGTCAGCAGTGCGAATATGAACCACTGCCTAAAGACATTCAAAAAAAAAGCATCAGCCGCACGCTCAAGATGTCGAATTATTTAGATCTTGAACTGCTATTGGAGCCAGGATACCTCATCGGTGATGTAAAATGGTGATATTCAGCTGCGACTCCCCTGGTCCCACTTCTGCTTCTTCTTGTTTGTTGAGTTGAGTTGAACATGAACGAACATGATCCCCTCCCGGTGTAATTTCACCCAGCAGTAGCGCGATCGGATCGCGCGATCACAGCGATCGCGCGATCGCGAAGTCTGAACGCGCTCTTAGAAGGCACCTTTTTTGTTTACCTTGAGCCGCTGCTCGACAGGGGTCCGTTTGACCGTAATAACATAGTCCATCTGGGGATGAGGCGAAACGAACCATCTGTAGAGAGTCTTCTTTTTAAGTCATTTGTTTTTTTATTTCTAACTAAGTGGAAGAATTTCAGATGGACCTAGACCAGTAGGCTATTTCTCTAAAGAACGAACGTCGCCCGACGGTCACAATCTGAGCTGTATTTGCGTATTTCCTGCTTTTCAACGGCAAGGCTTTGGAAGCCTCTTGATTCAGCTGAGTCAGTTGCTTACTTTTTTCCGCATTACAGCGCGCATTATTTGAAAGACGATGCTCTCTCTCACTCTCACTTTTGCGCAAGCTAATATAGGTTGGAAGGAAAATCCTGTCAGTGTTTTTTTGAAAATCTTCCAGTTTTTCATTCTCGATGCTCGTACATGACGTAACCGAATATACAATATGCTAATTATTATACTGAATTTTGCATCTGAGTACGTTCAAGCGGAGTATTGAACATCTTGTTCCAAAAGTAAGACACGCAGAACTTTCAACAGCGGGTGATGTTGTTTCTCTCCCTTCCCCCGATTTTGCCAGTCCTCCAGATATTCACTTTACTTTTGTCACATTGTGTTTGCTTTGTTTGTTCTGCCATCCTCCAGGTCTATACACAACCTGCAACCTGGGTGCTAACGTATTTGGGGGGGACCACGCGGCGAGCGGCGAGCGATGACTCATCCGCTCTTCTGCTCCCTCCTCGGCAAAAAAAGTAATTTCATGTTTAGGACATGGATATAACACCGTCCTAGCTATATTCAAAAGCTAAAACAGTTAAGGCTGAAAAGTGCGAAGAAACAGTTGTAGGCTGGAAGATTTTGCCTAAATACAAAACGATTGTTGCCTTTTTGTTGATTCTTGACTATAAAAGATCAAATATTTGTTGTTTTCAGCTTCTGTGGGATTTCCCAGCAAGTTCCCGGTGAATCTTGTTTGTTTCATTCTAATTTGGCTGCTAGTTTCGCGCTTCAAGTATGCCTATGAGTGAAGAGCTGATGAGTCATCACTCGCCGCTCTCCGCGTGGTCCCCCCCAAATACGTTAGCACACCACAACCTTTCCTTTCGACGGTTTCTGCAAATCGTCAGTATTGCGAATATGAACACGGCCTAAAAGACATCAAAAAAGGTCGAACTTACTTTTATATCGTTTTTGGAACTGCCTATTGGAGGCAGGATACAGCATCGTGATGTGAGAAATGGTGATATCAGTACGACTCCCTTCCCAGATTTTTGTTGTTGTTGTTTGCTGAGTTGAATTGAACAGCACGAACATGATCGCCCCTCGCGGTGTTAATTTCAGCACAGCAGAAGCGCGATCGATCGCGCGATTCAGCGATCGCGCGAAGGAGTCTGAACCTCGCTCTTAACCGCAACTTTTTTTTGTTTACCCTTGAGCCGCTGCTTCAGCGTTGACGTAATAATTTAGTCCATCTGGGATGAGGCGAAAACGAAACATCTCTGTAAGCAGAGTCTTTTTAAGTCATTTTGTTTTTTTATTTCTAACTAAGTGGAAGAATTTCAGATGGACCTAGACCAGTAGGCTATTTCTCTAAAGAACGAACGTCGCCCGACGGTCACAATCTGAGCTGTATTTGCGTATTTCCTGCTTTTCAACGGCAAGGCTTTGGAAGCCTCTTGATTCAGCTGAGTCAGTTGCTTACTTTTTTCCGTCATTACCAGCGGGATTCTTTTGAAACCTTGATGCTCTTTTTCATTTTGGGATTTTTTTGCGGAAAGCTAATATAGGTTGGAAGGAAAAATCCTGTCAGTGATTTTTGGTTTTTTTATGAAAACTCTTTCAGTTATTTCATTCTCTGTTGCTCGTACATGAACGTAAGCATGCTATGCCCTTTGAGAATCTAAGAGCTTTCCTGGTCAATGAGGTGTGGTGAGGGCGCCTGCTTTTGGCTGATTACCTAGCAAGTATCTCGGTCACACCTATTGCATGGCCATCTGGAGCCACGGCAGCTGTCCGTAACATCATCACCGTATTGGGGAGGACACTACCACCGTAAGGACCATTCACTTTTAGTTCGCTCGCTTCGCGAAAAGAGACTCGATCCTTGAAGACAAACCTCGCTCGGGACGCCTCAACGAAGTGAAAGGTTTCACCACTCTCGAAGCTGTCAAGGAGGGTCCGGAGGCTACCACCCGCAGTCTTGCGACAAGACTCGGATGTACCTAACTGACAGTCGTCAACCGCCTGTAAGCCCTTGACTATACTGATTCGATGCCACTCTTTTACCTTGACCGATGGCATGCTGTGCACCCGGGTACCCCTTGGTTAGACTTCCCTTCTATGCCCTCGTCAGAAGAAGTTCAGGAGACTGCTTAGTGGGCATGAGAGATGGGTCCTTTATGATTTCAACCCACACAGTACCGTTTGTCTCTCAAGGAGAAGATCCATTCTAGCAGTCCAAACCGGGCATGTATTCCGAGAAGGTTCTCCTGTGCTGTTCCTGGGACGCGGGCGTGATACTGCAGAACGCGCTGCCCTCTAAGAACAGACGGTCATCGCTACCATTTGTGTCGCTCAGCTCCTGAAACCGGTGGAAATTGTTGGTAAAACATGACCGAGATTAGCTTCGGATCACCCCATTGGTACACGAGACCCCATCCTGCCATGAAGACCTACCAAATGATGAGCAAGGCTGAGAGACCAGTCCCCGCTCATGATATTCTCCCGACGTAGTCCCCTACGACTGCTACCTGCTCCGCCTCCTTAAGGCTTTCTTAGCTAAGAAAATTTCAAGCAACTTTGATGACATCAGTCGAGAGGGCGCTGATTTACTCTACTCGCAGCCTTCTCAGTTCTGGGAGGAGGGGAATGCTTACCTGTCCATTGGGTGGAGCACTGTAGTGGCTATGACGAGTATATTGTTGACGTAATTCCCACTGTGTGTTTGAGTTGGAAAAATAAAAAGAAAGAAAAGTCACAAGACGTGACAAACTTTCCTTCAACCTATATAACCTAACTCTATTTTGCCGATCAGTCTGCTTTTCTTTCTTTCTTTTTTTCTTTCTTTCTTTTTTTTTCTTTTTTCTTGTAGGAAAAGTAGTCCTTACTTTCGTTTGTAAGATCCTCTTCGAGAAATTAGATATCGACGTAAGCGGAATGGATTCGGGAAACCGGAAGATTTGACATTTTTCTCGAAATTCTTAAGTAGATCTTGAAACCGCACCCAAGATATTGAAGCGGTTTCATTTGACTACGCGTTAGCTTGATCGCATTCGTCGGCGCCTGGGAAGTCACAAATAGGAATGACACCGCCCAATGCAATTTCGCACTTGAGGCGAGCTCACCCTAGACTAAAGGCGCCGAGGGAGGTGTCGTAGCTCAGAAACGCCATTCAGTCATCCTTAGAAGACACGGTTGTCGTGAATTCCGTACACCGCCACAGTAGCTCACTGTCGGTGGCTTCAGCTCGACCCAACCGTATTTCCTGCTGTTAGTCAAGTTATGTTTGTGAGTAAGGAGACCTCCAAAGTTGCCTTCATTCTATGGTTAGCTGGTCTTCAGGCAGAAATGGCGTTCGGTGGTAGGTCACTCTTATTTTTGACATTCCATGCTAGGCGACTAGGCCGAAACGCCGACCAAAACAAATTTCATTTCATTGTTTATTTCATTGTTCCTTCCGTTATTTGTAACAAGAACTTCCGATACATTCATACCTAAGCATCGAAAGCCGAATCGTGGATGCTTTTGGTATTTCCTGTTCGAAATAATGGAATTTAGCCTGAAGTTTAACAGTGCTGCCTGTTCCAGGTTATGAACTTTCCCGCCGTGAAGGAATACAAGGCTCACCGGAAAAACCATTATCCGATCTTGGAGCAGCTAGCTTTCGTCATTACTGGGCGTACATCATTGTTGACTACCTCTCCGGCTTTATGGATACAGCTTGGATACGAGTTTCTGAATTGGCGAAAAGTCTAGGTAAATCAGGAATTTGAAGTTTTCTTAAGATAAACATATTGCACTTGAGGTATGCAAGCTGCGGACGTCGTGGACACTCTTCACTGGCTGCAACTCTGCGATCCAGCAGTGATGGCTGAAGCGCCAGATGACCTCGAGCTTTGGGTTCACGTTTATATAAAGCATCTGGAATCACTACGAAGTCGAGCTGCAAGACCGCCTCGTTTGATGTTGAATGCGCGTTTGCTTCATTGGCGTCCCAATATTTAGTTGTGTACAATCCGTCCTAGATTGGAAGTATACCGGTTTTTCTAGATACGAAACGTGTCGCTATGGGTTAAGCTCTTTCCTCTATGGTTTTTATGTTGTCATAACATTTAATCTTTCATTGAATGTTCTGGGTTACGTAACTTCTCCCCGCGTTTGTTCCCATTCATATAGTTTCTTACATTTGTATCCCTTTGATATCTTATGAGATTGTTACTAGCTTGTAAAGCTGTGCTTCAAAAGCTATCAATTAATGGGATAGTTTAGAATTTTCGTGCCGTAATTCTGCCCATAACTTTGTGCAACGGCTTTGAAGATCTCAGTAGTTAATAAAATATATTCAATTTTTCGAATCAATGGTTTAAGCAGACGTTCGCGTTCACGTCGTCGTTGATTTTTTTCATTGATTTTTGGTGTGAATTTCTCTCAAAAAAAGCATTAGATATGATGGTCTCCTAAACGGTTCTTCTAGTGATGGATGAAAAAGAACATGAAGAAAGCGTACAACAAAGTGGATCTCATGACACTTCGGAGGTAGGATGGAATTATTTGACTTTTTTTTCTGGAATAAGTAGTTTTAAGCTTTCTTTCATTCGTACTCTTTCAATTTTAGGTTACCTACGGAGGGGATGACTTGAACTTTTTCACTCAGTTGATCAGTTTTTGTTCAACAACACAAGTGAGGCACCAATATTGATTTTAGAAAGGGGGATGTCTTTAGGCTAGAACCTAAAGAGAGTCCCCGCGCCCAAACAGCTTCTAGACGTCCTTCCTTGTAGAAGTAACTTGATCCTCAGCCTTCAAGAGTTTCTAAGGTTATCCCACTTTCGCGGCATGCTATTAGGACGCTGTATTGTGGGGAAGGGGCGAAAGAACGGAGTGAAACGGTCAAAATCCTGCGAAAAAGCCTCCGTTCTCAGTGACTTGAAAATCGATTTCGGACGAGTTTCCCGTAGGCATCTTGCCAATCACCGCTACCGAAGATACGGCTGCATATGTGTACCCATATATGCATGCAGCATCACGGCCGCTTCATACCAATCCCTTCGCTTCATAATTTGCTTAGCAAATGAATCGATTAGAGCGTCAGGAACTCGTCCATTTGTGGGCGGGCGGGCGTGGCGGGCGTTTGGGCCCGTAAAGTTGTGGCTTGATAGGGCCCTTATAAGGGCACCTTGGGGAAACCGCTATGCAGCGCCTGCCCAGGGTCGCGGAATTCTATCCTGCCAGGAGTATTGATCCTAGTCGTCTTGGGGGATTTATCGTGCCAACTGCCTTTAACTGTGGCCCTCATATGTGCCAGTTCTATCGCCCCTCTAGTTGCCCCGCCCAACTCCAAGGCGATTTTCTAATGGAACTTTAGTTTTTACCTTTTTTCTCTCTTACATGGTAGCACTGGATGAATAGAAGGAACGTTCAATGAGCCAGAGGTAGCAGGATAGCTCTTTGCGGGCTGAAACGAACAGATAATCGGAGAACTCGTCCAAATAGGTTGCCATCTCCCAACTCAGGGTGTTCTTCATGACTTTTTCTCCTGCTTTCTTTATCAGAGAGTCATTTAGCGACTATTTGGTTGTAACTGAACGCCACTATTCACAGTCGCGAGCTTTGTCTAATACAGAAGTTATTTAGGCGTCGTTAGTTTTGATTACTCTCCGCATGTATCATAAGTCATACTGGACTTGTTCCACCTATAGTATAGATGAATAGTCTTTTTGTGTCAGAAATTGTACAGGTCTAATATGTAACTGCTAGTGAAGTATCAACTTCACATGCTCAAAAACAAACTTTTTACCCGTGTTAATATATTGCGTTTATCTCTCTGGTAATATGTTACCAAAAAAGCATTGGCATGGATTGCGCAAACCTACAATAGTTCCCTTGTCAATATGTGGTTGGGGGTTCCAAATATGTTCAAAAGCGCTTTTAATGCAGTATCTCAGCATTGGGACTCTGTTAAGAGAAACCAGACTTCAATCCAGTTTTTAATCAGTCTATATTTTGAAAATTTTTAAAATAGTCCCTGAAAGCGACTTTCCGGCTAGTGTTCTCCTGCATAAAAATAATCAGGGACGCTTTTCGACCAGCTATTTAAATATTCTTTGGAATGAGTATTTCAAGTAACTATGCGGCTAATTAGTATAAACTAAGTGGGATCATATAATGCGTTGCGATACTTCCTCATTCCCTTCAAAATTAAAAAGGTCTGATCGTGAACCTGAGTAAATAGCGTTATAACGCGCTCGGGAACCATTCATGAATGTTTCGAAGGGCAGCCAAGGGAACAGAAAAATTCATATTGAGTGAATGAGCGAATCAGGCGAAGGCTGTGACAGGTTAGCGAGGTACTCCGGAAAAAAATCACACAGATTCCCGTGCTATAGTAGTTTGTGGCATAGTTAGCAAAAAAGCCTTTATTTTCCAGCACTCAGAAAACGATTTCGGACGAGTTTCCCGTTAGGCATCGTGCCAATAACCGCTACGGTAGATACGGCTGCATGTATGTACTCATATATCCATGCAGCATTGCAGCCGCTTCATATCAAATCCTCCGCTTCATACTGTACTTCGAAAATAACGCTATACGAGCATCAGCATTGCTCGTCCATTTCTGGGCGGGTGGGCACAAACAAGTAATGTGAAAACAGATAATTGAGGGAACTTTTCTGAAATCTATACAATATGGTCCTATTATTTGGTTTTCCTTGTTCGGCAAACGTTGTCAGTGGAGGTGTTTGTTGGTTCAGAGAAAGAAGTCGTTGAATTGTATGCCAGTCCTTTAGTTAGGACCATTCCTTCAAAACATCGCCAATTAGGTACTCCACTAAACAACTTCGTCCGAACGAACGAAAAAACATGTAAAATTTTGGTACACTGTTCACTGGCGGAACAGAATTCGTAACTATTGTGGAATCGCTGCTGCCAGTGGCAGGGGTCGAAACCGCATTATCTCCTGTCATTGGCGGTAATTGAATGAAATAACACAAAAACTTCTTATTGGAAGCGAAACTGCCACTGAAACCGCATGTTTAAAGAAGTATTGCTCGCTGATTATCGTTGTAAATTCGGTGTAATGCCAAAGTGGCTTCCACTCTTCGGTGTTTTGTGCCCATAGACAAGTATAGTGTCATTTTGAAATGAATAAATGGCCGAATATACCGGGTTGTGTTTGATGCTGGGCTCAAGTGAAGACTTCTATCATAAGGCGAAGTGGAGATCGCATGAATTAGACCCAGAGTTCTTTTTATTGGCGGTTTTGTTGCAGTATTGTTCGCTGCGGATGATGGGGCTTATCAGCGCG